TACGCATTTGGAGGGAGAGGTGAAGAGAATACGCATTATGGGGAGAGCCGTATTAGTCCCTAAGTAAACTCAAAATATTCTTAGAGTGACTTACCTTTTCTACAGAAAAGGCCTTTTATAAAATGAGGACTTCACTAAAGGGTCCCAGTCGAGATGGAAAAATAAAGTAGCAACTGCCCTGACTTGAATCTACTAATGCTAAAAGCAAATCAGGCAAATGCGAGACAGTGGGAACATTCAGGGTTCTTAGAATGGAGCCTGGACTCCTCTGCCTGCCAGCCAGGCTCTTCCTCACCCCGGAGGTCCGGGGTGCCCTCACCCATCCACTGACATCATGCTTCCCAGGGGCACCTAGGGCCTGTGAACTGCCACAGTAAAAGACATTTTCCACCTTCACTCCCCCTCACTCCTGTTCAGTATGTGACTTTCTGGGGTGTCTTACTCCAAGGTGTCTTCTCCCAGAGAATTTTGCTCTTCCTCCTTCTCAGGTGATACTGATCTCCCGATTGTCTCTCGTCCTGCCTACTCCTCTGGCCCTTTATGGTCTCCTCTTACCACTCCCCGAGAGCCTCAGCCCTCTTCTTTCCCGGTTCCTCCTTACTCTTAGAGCTAGGAAGTGGCAGTGTTTCCCAACCTCCACCTGAAGGTCTGGTCTGCCTCTGTCTCTGTCTCTCCACCCCCACATTCCCATCCCCTCCATCTCTGCTCCCACCTTGCCCCCTCCCACACCCTGAGCTTCTCCTGCCTGCGGAACATGTTCCCCAACTGAACCAAACTCACTAGTAATTCTATAACAGCTTTTTTCTGGTTTCACTGTTTTCTTTATTTATTCAAGGATTTAGAACATTTTTTTCCTTTTTACAAATACAACAAATATTCATTGCAGCAGTTACAGAAAATAAAAAGGCACCAAGGAAAAAAATTATGTAAATCTCACTATCTAAAGATAACTACTATTAATATTTTGACATCTCTTTCTTACTAATCTTTCCAATCTTTCTTCTAACTATATCTTCCTACAAAAAATTACCTGGGGTCATGCTATACCCCTTATTTCACAATCTGCCTTTTGCACTAAATAACATTGTCAACATTTTCTCCGTGTCATTGTTCACGCTAACATTAGCTTTAAATTGTTGCATGGTAGTACATTCTATGGATTCATTTAAATAATTTGGCATTTATGAATATTAAATTAATTTTATTTTTTCTGTTACATAAATAACACATGACAGCAATCTTTATTGTTTCATCTTTGTACATGTCTTAATTATTTCCTTAGAAGTTAAATTGCTGGCTCAAAAGTATTTCCCTTTTTAAGTCTTTGGGTGCAAATTATCATCTTGCTCTTGAAAAAGTTCAGATCTATAGTCCTACCAGCATTGTTCCATTTTCAATATTTGAAATTTGAAGATGAAATATGAGGTCTATTTATAAGTTGATTGCTAACAAGGTAGCTAGTAAGCTTTTAAATTTTTTTTTAATGTTTCTTGGTACCTTGTAATGTTCTTTTGTACAGATGTGCTCAGGACCCCTAATTGATTTACTTGCTTATAAGCTGGCTAAACTTAGGAAAATGATCTCACTTTCTCAACTCCAGGGTTTGCTTTGGTAACAAAGGAATAAATTAATATCGACCTCCGAGAGTGGTTGTGAGGATGAAATGAGACAATGCCTACCACATGGTGGGCATGCAATAAATGGTAGATCTCCCTGCCCATTTCTCTAGTGGATTATCTTTTTCCAATTTGTCATAATCCCTGTTTCTTTAATGGCAACACCAGTCCAAATCACACAGAATGATGATGATGATGATGATGATGATGATGATGATGAAGATGATGATGATGATAGCTACCATTTATTGTATACTTACTATGAGCCAAATATGGAGGTATTTGCCTTGTAAATAATATCTCATTAAGTCCTCAGGAACATCTGATTTCTATTTTTTCATCAACCTTCATATCTAAATTGTTGCCAAGTTCCACTAGTTCCTATATTCGTCCAAACTGTCCCTACCTCCCCCAATGCAATGTAAACATTACCACTCCTGCCCAGGACTAATGAGATGTCCTCTAAATTGGACTCTACAATTCCAGGTGGCTTTCTGTCCTCTAGTATCATTTGCACAGATACAAATGCCCGAAAATATTATTTTGCAATTTCAGCAAAAAGGCAGAAACCAGAATAATGGTTATAAAGCTCAAAATCTTTAATGGCACGCCGTGGCCTTCTGGCCAGCATACAAAGCCCTCTACACTGTTTCTGACCTAACTCTTCGGCCATGGCTCCCCTACTTCTACTGCTTCCCTTCGCTGCGACCCCAGCCTTCCATACACACTCCCATACCACCCCAACACATAGCTGTGAGCTATCATTACAGGACTCTTTCACCTGGTCCTGTATTTATTTCTCCCACAAATCTTGACTGAGCTCCAGCTATGTTCCACACACTGTTGTCCAGGACCCCCTCCTTTTCCAGGCACATCTTACATGCCATGTGTCTCTCTCCTACTAAATGATGAGCCCAAGGCTAGTCAGGAATTCTTTTCCCCCCACAATGGTGACCTCAGTTCCTTTCATATTAGTGTGTAATTAATAATTATTTGTGAGCTTGAAAACTATGTCAGCACCTCTGTGCAGAGATTAAAGTCCAGGGGCTAAGGTGAGTGGAAAGGATTTAACACCACAGAGGTGTGCAAGTAGGGGGTATGTTGGCAACAGAGTGGCTTCTCACAGAAGTTTCTATAACTAAGATAAATAAGAAAGGGAACAGGGAGACTGGAAAAGGAGGCATAAGGAAGAGGAGATGCTAACTTAGTAATCCGAGAAAATTACCCTGTTTCTAAGTCATCTACCTTGTAGGTAGACCCATTCCCCTAAAGAAGAAAGCAAGCAACTGATTTGAATCTTTGAACTCCTCACCACTGCTTACTGAAGAGCGATGACATTCCTGAGCTGTTCAGGGACTGATGGTAAAGTTACCAAACATCTAGATTTCCTGCTCTATTTGTTCTTTCTCTCACCTTGTCTTTTCAGATTGAGAGAAAAGGCTTTGTTGTTCAGAGGCCTTCCCCAAAATAGCATGCAGTTACTCTTTCGGGAGACGCAGGCTTAACTAAAAGAGGTTGCTCTTTTCTGGTATCTTTTGTTGTATTTCATTCCTACACCCCCGTTCTCCTCACTAGTTCCTGTCTCTCCTACTCATCTTTGGTGATTATCCTTTCCTCTTTATACAGTTTACAATGAGCCAGTTGCAACCAAGGATTGTGTCGTACTTGTCACCTGTTTCTTCCTTTCCATGTCATCGAGCTGTGTTCTTTTGGCAAGCATTTACCGAGTATCTACTACATGCCAGGTTCTGTGTTAGCAGCTTGTCCTCATCATTTCTTTTCTTTTCATGTTTTATTTATTTTGAGAGAAAGAGACAGACAGACAGACAGACAGAGAGCATGAGAGAGAGAATCACAAGCAGGCTCCAAGCTGTTAGCACAGAGCCCGAGGCGCGGGATCGATCCCACAGACCATGAGATCATGACCTGAGCCAAAATCAAGAGTCAAAAGCTTAACCAACTGAGCCACTCAGGCCCCCTCTCATCATTTCATTGTTTACTGGAATAATAGCTCCCAAATAGACCCCCCTGCTTTATGTTTCTTTCTGAATCCATTCTGCTCCCAAATCAAACTTTGTGAAGCTCTGCTCTGTCAACAGCATTCTCCTCCCATTTGCTTGAAGATTAAGTCCCTATTTATCAGCTCTCTCCCATCTGCCCTCTGGATGCCTTTTAGACTTTTTTTTCTCCGTATCCAGTCTGCTTTCTAGTAAATACATTCTACTCATTTGTCTCCCCCAGTACATTTCCATCTTTGTTTCACCAGCTCTTTGAATTTCCAAATTCTCCTCCATGTGTACTTAATAAGCGTGTTGGGGCAAACTATCCCTGTGGTGGAGGAGGATGCCACCCTAATAGGTTCCAGTCAAGGAGAAGAAGCAACCTAAGACTCATCCTTACGAGGAATCTGAATGTCTCAGAATTAGGGACGAGAGGCAACAATAACCATGTCTGTCTAAAGAGGTCCAATGACTAAGGAACCTCAGGCCCTTCACCCAAAGTTTGACTGGGAGATGAGTTCTTTGGTAAACTTGGTAAATCCTGGGATGAGAAGTCCCAGCAACCTACTCTTCCATTCACTGAGATACTCAACAAAAACAGTTTTTTTGTTGCAACACCTATGTGCTTGGCTTTGTGGTAAGTGCTTTGGAAACAACAGTGAATGAGGTAAACATGTTCCTGGCCTCATGGAGGTTTCAGTAGAAAGGGAAGATGTTGAACACATTGACAAAATGGTAAGTAAAGTAACAAAAATGTGGATAAGTGCTAATAAGAAGAGACATAAAGTATTATGATGCAATAAGGTGGGATACACTACTGGAGATAGGAGGTGCGATCAGTCAGAGAAGGTCTCTCTGAAGACACTGAAGCTGAGATCCAAAATATGAGAAGAAGCCAAACACTCAAAATGACATGCCAGACTCTTAAACAGTAAAGGCACAGGCTCGACACACATATGTTTGTTGCATGCACATGTGCACATGTGTGTGCGCACGCGCACACACACACTTGCTGAGACCAATGCGGGCCAATAACCTCACTGGCTTGGGTCTCTATGTAGTTCATTCATCTACTGGGGATGCAGCGGCCAGCTCCTTCTATTATTATAACCAGAACAGCTTCTCTTTTGATTATACAAATAGGTAATAAGCCTTTTGGTGTAAGGGTCCCTCAGATGACTGGGATCTAAATCCCAGCTACATACTTTGCTCTGCTAGCAGTGCTATTTATTTCCAACTCAAATTCACAAAATATTTCTAGAGCCCAATACAGCACTCTAGTGATCCTCATCACCCTGTATATTGAAAAAAAAAAAACTGCTTGTTACATTTTAAAGTTGGTATAAACCAGCTCTTAAGAAAATCTAGAAGTTGCTTTCCATACCTCGTTGATTAACTGGATCTTTAGCTACGTAGGCAACATAGTCTGTGGTATCCTATAAAAAAAAAAGGGAAAATGATTGCATTTAAAATGAATGGATTGTACTATTGAAAGATAAGAGTACATTTAGCACATGATACTGAGGTAAGGACTTAAATACAAATGTTTCTATTTAAAGGCAAAAGGAAAGCATCCTAAAATAGAACATAAATATACCCTGGGTAGTTTAGCAATTGCGGGGTCCCGATTCTCTGCCCCTTGTAGAGAGAAGTTGAAAATTAAACATTTAAAGGCAGATTTAGTGATACTTACTAAGAATAAAAAAAAAAATCCAGATAGGGAATATATTGGTACATATATTCTTAAAAAATGGTAAGGGACCATGACTCTCTCTTTTATGGAAAGGTGAAATACCAGGGGTGACTCAGTCACAAAGGAGTCATAAACTGGGAGACGGCACCATGATTTCTCAGTTGCGCAGACAGACACCATGTATGTCAGAAAATAAGTCAATTAAAGAGACATATTAGTTTTTGTGGTTGTTAGCTTGCTCGAGTGCAGGGCAAGTTAACTTAAGAAATAAAGCAAAAATACAAAGCATTTTTATTTGATCATTATGTAGAAAGGAAAAAATCATTTTTGAAAACAAGAACCCATGAAAACTCTAAGGATTTCAAAAACAGGTGTTGCTGACGTTGTAAAAACAAACAAAAAGCCACTTGGTAATTCTGACTTTTATTGAAAACAGTAAACTGATGAATGATAAGATCTTAATAATTAAAGATGCTTTTTGTTATCTCAGTTCTCAGGGAAAAAAATACACACAACGCCATTTGCAGATTAGAAGTATGCCTCTCCAGAGGGAAGATGCAATCAACTGGCAGGAAATAAAAGCCCGTTTGTAATACCCTCAAGGACAATCACTTAATAACCCACAGTGAAACACACAGGAAGCAGCTCTCAGGGTCAGCATAACTTGTCTTCAGTTATTTTAAAAAATAACAAACACCTAAATAAATTTATCTTATGCTAAAAGATAGGATGTTTGAAATATCTTGTAAATAAATAAGGTCGTATCTGTGAGCTTTATTTTATATTAATGTAGAGGCAAAGCCACAGTTGCTGGGGGCTTGGCTGCTCTTTTTAAAATTGAAGCGATGGTACGATGCCAGCAACATGAGCTGGAGCTTTCAGTGATGGGAAAGAGGTTGTGGGACCTCATCCTCCAGACTGTCTCCAACAGTCTTAGAGTTCTAAAAGCAGATATAGTTCTTATATCTGGGAGAATCTAAAGAATGTTAAAAGTGAAGCCCAAATGGTGAAAAAATATATAAGAAAATATATTCCTGACATACTTGTAATGCATTTTTGAAAAAAAGAAAGTATATATAGATACAGAAGCATTACCAAGGACTGTCCTCAGGGCTGACAGGAGGAAGACAAGTAAACTTTGTTTTTCATTTAATGTTTT